ATGCACTCTGAATGGGGAGGCCAGTTTATATGGTGGGAAATACAAGCATATGACATTTGAACTACAATTCCCATGAGAAGAGAGAATTACTCACTTTGTGCAGTAACGGAGGTTCTTCAAGATGGTTGTCTCTGTGGGTGCTCCACCTTAGGTCTTGAGGTGCTGTTGTGCATCTAGACAGAGATTTTTCAGTAGTAGTGCCCTCCTGTGTACTGTGCATGTGCAGCTACTGTCCCTTCAGTTCCTTCTCTACCCCGGAAGAATAATAGCAATAACTCCGAAGCAGAGGGAAGGAAGGGCGGGTGGTAGAGCACCCACAGGGATGACCATCTTGAAGAACCTCCGTTACTGCACAAAGTGAGTAACTCTCTCTTCTTCTTCGAGGAGTGTTCCTGTGGGTGCTCCACCTTAGGTGACTATATAGCAGTACCCATGCTAGGAGGCGGATGCTTCAGTTAATAATAGTGTTGAACTTTGGTGAGGACTGTTAGTCCAAGTTCCGTGATCCATTTCAGGTAAGTGTCCAGGGCATAATGTCTGGCGAAAGTGTGCACAGAAGACCATGTTGTGGCTCTGCAAATGTCCATTCGATTAATGCTGCTAAGGTAGGCTACAGAGGTTGCCATGTCCCTTGTAGAATGCACTCACAATTGCAGCGGGGGCTGCTGGTTCAAACTGGTGTAAGCCAGGCGGATACAGTCTATGATCCACTTGGAAATTCTCTGTGTGGAGATTTTCAAACCCAATGAGCTTTTAGAGATGGAGATGAAAAGTCCATTAGTTTTATGAAGTGCCTTTGTCCTTTCTAGGAGGCAAGGTGCATCTGTCGTGATCGCACTCGTCGGGGGAGCTCTGTGGAAGTGTACCCCAGTGCACACACTTTTTTTGATCTGCCCACCAATCTAGTGAGTGCTTGATCCTGTTTGGGAGTGAAATCAACTTGTTGATATTGGTGTAATGGGGCCTGTATGCCATTCAGCGCCATCACTGCATTGGTCTCATATGTAACCTGGCGTGCGACACCACTGATGTGGCCGCTGCCATGTGGCCTAGAAGTTGTAGGCAAGTTCTTGCAGGAATTTTTGGGCTGGTCTGCAGCACATTGACAATGTGCTTGATTGCCTGGAATCAGTGGTGTGGAAGAGAGGCTGTTGCCTGGATGCAGTTGAGATAGGCCCCTATAAACTCTATGGTCTGAGCCAGTTGGAGCTTGCATTTGGCTAGGTTGATTTGGAATCCTAGAATCTGGAATAAGGACATGGCCTGGGAGACTGCCTTGAGGGCCTCCTGGTAGGTAGGTGCTCTAGTCAGGCAGTTGTTGAGGCAGAGGAATATAGATACGCCTCATTCACGGAGGTGGGATGCCACTACTGCAATGAGTTTTGAGAAGACCCTTGGGGCCATGGAAAGTCTGTAGGGCAGCACTGTGTATTGGAAATGTGCTGTGCCCAGATTGAACCTGAGGTATTTGTGATGCGCAGGATGCATGGATACAGGAAAATAAGCATCCTGGAGGTCAAGAGTCCCCTTTGTTTAGGGCTGGTATTATGGTAGCTGAAGTCACCATCTTGAAGCGCTTCCTGAGAATGTGGTGGTTGAGTTTCCAGAGACCAAGAATTGGTCTCCAACCTCCTGATTTTTTTGTTATGAGGAAATAAGGGGAGTAGAAGCCTTTGTTTCTGTGATACTGAGATACTAGTTCTATGCCACCCAGGTGGAGGAGACGGTTGATCCCTCTTGTAGAACGCTCTCATGAGATGGGTCCCTGAAGAGGGACGGGAAGAGAGGATGGGTGGAAGGGAAGTTGGTAAAAGGGATGCAGTATCCCACTCTTACGACTTCTAACACCCACCTGTCGGTCATGATCGCTGTCCATTGGTAGAAGAAGGGTAGGAGACAGTGGCGGAAAAGAAGGGAGGACTGCAGTTGTTCTGTATGAAGGGACAGTATTGGACTCTCGATCTGACCTTCAAAATGTTTGCCTGGAGGTAGATGGCTGAGATGTAGCTGGCTGGTCAACTGTCTGTCTGCATTTGGTTTGACGTTGTCTCCTCCTGTTGTCAAAGTGCCTCTGAGTCTGATTGAAAGGAGAAGATTTGTATCTCCGGTTAAAGTATCTATTTTGTTTGCGCTTTGCTGCAGGCACATGGATCCCAAGGGGTTTCAAAGTTGTTCTGGAATCCTTGAGCGAATGGAGGGATGCATCGGTTGTGTCCACAAACAACTTGGATCCCTGGAAGGGGAGGTCCTGTATTGTGGCCTGCATCTTGACAGGTGGAGCCAGGAGGCCCTCCTCATGACAATAGCTGTGTCGGATGCATCGAGGGTGGCTTGAATGGGTGTGCAGGAGATCAGCATTCCCTCATTTATATTGGCAGAGAACTGTTGTTTCTTAACCTCTGACAAGTTATCAATAAAAGGTGATAGTTGTTCGAAGATGTGGTGGATGTTTTTAGCCAACATGGCTGTATAATTCGACATATGTAGTTGAAGCGAGGCTGAGGAATAAACCTTCCTTCCCATAAGATCTTACCTCTTCCACTCTTTGTCATACGGGATAGTATGTGTTGTGCTCTGTTTACTCCTTTGGTTGACAGCATCCTTCACTACAGAGTTGGGGGAAGGATGAGAAAAGAGGAAGTCCGCACCTTGTGGTACCACATAATATTTGCAGTCAGATCTCTTGCAGACTGGTGGAATCATAGCTGGCATCTGCCATATAATCTTGCCAGGGTCGACAAGGGCAGGATCCATGGGCAAGGCTAGTTTGGAGGTTGGCGTGGCATGGAGTATGCTGGTCAGTGTGTGTTGGGTGTCAGGGAGGTTGACCAGGGAGACCTCAAGAACATCAGCTACTTATTTAAAGAGCTTTTGAAAAGAGCGGAAGTCATCATCCACTGTAGGGGATGGGGGCATAAGGGTGTCATCAGGAGAGGAGGAAGATATGTGAGCTGCCAGATGAGAAGAGGCTGATTCATCATCATCACTGGAAGCAATCTCCACCTCCTCTTGATAGAGCGACCTGTCAATGGGTGGCAGGGATGATGCTGTGGAAACGGGCCGTCGGCATGAGCCTGATGCCTGATGTTGAACCCGATATGGTGCCCACAAGTCCCAATAAGGCCAGTTGGAGAGTAGAGGCATGGGAGAGGGCAACCATTGTAGAGGTTGTTGCTGAGCCCCTGGCAGTGTTGGTGGTTGAGGCTGTTTCGGGGAAGAATGCCTTGGGGAATGGGTACCAACCACTGGGTCATCTTCATCCTCACTCGACAAAGGAGGTGCCGAACGTGGAGTAAGCAAGCATAGGAAGCTGCCAGATGCGGGAGTGCCATTGGTGCCGAAGAGAGGTGTTGTGGGCACCTAGGATACCCCAAGCTCCTCCTCCGTGGTGAATCCCTGGTGTATGCGGTGCCAGGGGAAGTTGTGGTGGAGCTATGGCCACAGCCTGAGGGCACTGCTACTGAAAATCTCCATGTAGACATGCAATGGTGCCACAAGACCTAAGGTGGAGCTCCCACAGGGACACTCCTTGAAGAAGAAACTGAACTTCCAACTCTAAATTTTCAGGTTTTGGTCAAAGAATTTTGGGTGCCTAACAGATTCAGTATTGATGCAAAAGAAAAAAAAATTCTGCATAAATTGTCACTGTGTACTGCATCTAGAACATGACAATTGCAAGAAATGCCTTTTAAGACACCATTACAAGGTTTGTGGTATTTCAGTAATGGGAATAAGAACCTGGATAGAATATAAAGTATTAGCACATTTTGGGGTACTAGTGTAAGACAGAATTAAATAGAATCAGAAATGCAGGGATGGAAGGGACCTTGGGAGGTTCAGACGAGGGAGGTCCATAACCAAGTACCTAAATAGGATTAATGGAACAGGCCCCACAGAAAAATCTACTTTGCATGTCACAGTAGCCAAGGGCTTATCAAAATATGTTCACAACTTTCTTCCTTAATGAATGGAAACACATTCCTATCTCCACAAGAAAGATTTATTAAATTAAGTTGTGGGAGAGGTCTTCCCCAGAAAATAAGAAGGTGCATTTAAAAAGACTGCTCTTGTCTTCTACTTTTATTTTTTCCTTTTCTGGAGGATCATTTTCATTAATGAATAGACATACACATCTCTGTGGACAGAGAAGACACAAGACAAAACTATAAACAAAGGCAATTTAGCACAAAAAGCAACCCCATTTCCCCTCCACATTCATGTTGTCTGGAGCTGCTTTGCATTTCTTCTAGAAAGGTCTGAAAAATGTCGAAGAGGCCATGCCTCTGAGGAAAAAATGCAGCAGACTTCTTTACGGAAAGAAGGCCATGTTCTGCTTACCATTACACAACTGGGATCCCACCAGTGTAACAGAACATAGTTTGTCCAGAAGAATCATTCTATTATATATGTAAAAAGGGTGCATCTACACTGCACCGTTATTTCAAGATAACTAGCGTTATTTCAAAATAACAATGCGAGCATCTATACAGCCATTCCGTTATTTCGAAATAATTTCAAAACAATGGATGGCTTATTTTGAAATCTGTAAATCTCATTCTTTGAGGAATAAGGCTTATTCCGAAATAGCTATTTTGAAATAAGGTGTTTGTAGATGCTCCACTGCTTCTCTTTCGAAATAGCCCTTCACCAGAGCCATTCTAAGTTATTCCTCCCCAGTGCCTCCTGGAGCAATAAATTGAGATAGCACGTATAAATTAGAGAAGCCTGCCTCAAACTAAGTCTGAGGTTTTTCTGCAGTGTAGATGTGCTATTTCAAAATAAGCTATTTTGGAATAACTATTCCAGAATAGTTTATTTTGAAATAAGTGTGAATTGTAGACGTACCCTAAGAAATTATTTTTTCAATATGTGTTTTCAATATACAATTTCAATGGGAGTTTTGTCTGGCTTTAGAATGCAGGACTGGCTTCTAATAATCATTCCTTAGTTACCTGATAACAGTAAAAGCAACACACATCCAAGGATAAACAGTTACTTACCAGAACATTCAAATCCATTACCTCTATAGCCCTGTTTACATTTGCACTTGAAGGATCCCTGAGTATTGAGGCACTCTGCATGGATGTTACACTTGTGCGTACTTGCAGCACATTCATTTTTATCTAGAAAGGGGATACTTCAGTGAAAATTTCATTCAAATCATAGTTTCATAACAATCTGCCTGTGGCAGTCATCTATTTTCAGACAGCTTAAGCACCAGCATTAGAACAAGAATGTCCTGAAGACTCTGCTCTAAAATGGATTTTTGTTTCTCAAGACCACAACTTTTGGCATGAATGTTTGAGCATGACAGTATAATAATTTAGGACCTGATTTTGCTCCCAGTGAAGTCAATGACGTGTTTTTTTTTCTGACTACAATGATAGCAGGACTGGAACTGAGACTGTGAATGTTGTCCTCCTAACAAAAAATACAAAGGGCCCATGAGAATAATCGTTACTGTGATGAAATATAGACATTTAGATCCCAATATGCCCCCCTTGCATGGAATAGTAACTGCTTACAGGAACAATCCATTTTAAATAAGGGTGGCAGAACGGTGCCTGTAGACTGTAAGATAGGCAGGTCAGGGGGATTTACTGGAGAAGTGGCAGGCACATTCATTATGTTATTGGAAATATAACTGATATACTCAATAAAGTATTGTGTTAAACTGAAATCAGAACATATTAAAGAGTGGAAGTAACTGATTTAATTTATTGCTCCATTTGATTTTGTTACTGAATGACAAGAACTTTTCTGGTATTTCTCACATGAGGGAGCTACATTCTTACAAAGTCAGGGTGCATCTACACAACGGCGCTAGCTCGAAATAAGCTATGCAATTTGAGCTACACAAATTGTGTAGCTTATTTCACGACAGTCTATTTTGAAATTTGACACTGTTTACACAGCGCCAAATTTCAAAATAGACCGCTATTCCAACAAGTCCCTTAATTTATGTGGAACAAGGTTTACTGGCACGTCAGAATAGAAAACCCATTACTTCGATAGCATTTTGAAATAACAGGTGTGCTGTTAAGACGCGGAAAACGCTATTTCGGGATACTGGCTGTATCCCAAAATAGCACCACTGTCTAGGAGTATCCTAAGAGTTCTGCACCCATTCAAGTGTTACCATGGAGTATCCTAAGAGTTCTGCACCCATTGAAGTGATACTAAGCCATACTTCACACACAGAAGTTCAAAGGTACAGGTGCAAAGAATGGCTTGCATGGACACTCATGCAACAGAGGAGAACTCTGCATCAAAAGGTGGATGTATTTGCCAATAAGATTTAGACCTGCAATCTTTATGCCAGGTCTCCATTTTGTCTATGAACATATTCATAGGTTTTCAGTTTTAAGGCTTCTGAGATTTGAGTACAACAGGAAAACAAGACTCCACTCTCTTAAACCTGCCTTAAAAAAAATCGAAATATTAGTTCTCTTTTATATGTGCTCAGTGTAATTCCAATTCTCGTAGGCCCTTACATATTGTATCAGAGCAACATTTTTCAATGCCTGCTACATAAGCTACAAATTAGCTCTTCTTACACACAATGTGAGTCCCCTAGTTAATGGACTGCAACAGAGCACTAGAGATGTATAACATACACAGATACAAAAATGAAATGTCAAGAGGATGTAAGAGTCCTTTCACCTGTATTGTCTCCGCACCTGAAAGACCCAAAGCGTAACAGAGTTCTTCAAAGTAATTTAAACCCACTTTTTCCAGACAGTTATTTTTTTCCTTCTCTGAGCTGTACAAACATCTCTCTCTACTGTGTCGCAACTTAATGAAAGCATAGGAAGCTGCACCTCACTTTGCAGATCAGAGCCAAAAAATGAATTTACTCTGAGGCAAGCAAGCCTTCAATTAGCATCCTTAAATGAAAACTGAACACTCCCTTATAATCCATTGTTCCCTAGTTGCAGACTTGATTGCAAATGATTGTACACTTTCTGTAAAATTTCCTACAGAGGTCTTCGGATCCAGCTCGGGTGAAGGCGCAAGCGAGCGCAGTAGAGGGCCATCGGCCGTGTTGTTGACTCACTGTTGTCGACTCTCTGTGACAGACTAGTTTACACTACCATTGTAAATTTTCATTGATGTCCTTCACATAATTTTTCAATAATCAGGCAGGTGATTTTAGTCAGTGTCGCAATGAGGGCTCTAACTGATATTTTAGATCTGATTCTGAGGTGCACTTTCAGCGGTCTATTTTGAAATACTGAAGCTTATGTCAAAATCCACTGCCTACCATGTAATAACATGAAAGATGTACATTAAAGAAAGAGAAGAGACAAACCAAACTACTGCTTAAAGCTTACCTACACAGTCATAATGGCCACTGACATATTTCAGTTCATAACCAATCTGACACTTGCAATAGTAGCTTCCAAATGTGTTGACACATCTGCGGTTATAAGAGCAAATAGCTTTGCCAGTGGAACACTCATCAATATCTAGGGCAATGAAAATGGAAATTGGTAAGATCAAGCAGAAGACAAAAGGAAACAGCAAATGCTGTCATTTACACAGTGTAATTCGGTCATGGCAGTCATTGGAAACACACATTTCAAAATGTCCATGTTATAAAACATGTCCTGTGGATCTTATATTTGGGGATTGCTTTATATATGGGGGTAGGTGGATATGATGATGACAACAGTTAAACCAAGTGCATGGAAAATTTTGAGAGCTGCCAAGTTAAGTTAGGTTGGGAGCCAGCAGGAACCCATTAAAGGTTCCTGTCATATGGCCATGGAAAGTGAATGTAGGTTGGGGGGGGGAACTACATGGGTTGTGATTTCTCTTTTTTGGAGAGGTGGGGAAACAGAGGACTGTTACAAATGAGGCCTTTTGCAGAGTTGGGAATGCATCAGTGAAGAAAAAACAGCAGACTTCTTTCACTGCTGCTTGTAGGGGGAAATCTTTTGACACTCGCTGAAAAGTATGAAATTATGGGTAGAACTCAAGCTGGAAGTTATGACTCCCAAGGGTTAGCAGACAGCCGTCAATGACACATGATGACCCTGTCCTTACTGATAAATGGGGAAGGGGTCCTGGTATGGATAATGCCTGAGATCCACTGTTTGAGCACATCTACACAACAGGGCTAAAGCAGAAATAAGCTATGCAACTTAAGCTACGCAATTGTCGTAGCTCAAGTCAAAATTGCTTATTTTGGCTTTTGGCGCTGACTACGCAGCAGGAAGTCCAAGGAAGAGCATTCTTCCTCTGACTTCCCTTACTCCTTGTAAAATGAGGTTTACAGGAGTCAGAGTAAGAAGTCCTCCAGCTTGCCATTATTTCAAAATAACTGCTTGTAGTGTAGACAATGACTATGTTATTTTGGAATAAAATCAGTTATTTTGAAATAATGCTGCTGTGTAGACATAGCCTCTGAAAGGTTCTTCAATGGTTATATATTTTAAACTCGATGGTTTAGGCACTTGCATGTGAAGAGAGATGAGAAGGACAGAGTATGAGCAAGTTTTCTTGTATAACAAGTTTTACACAGTCCCCTCAAAGTGTTTTGCTGTGTGTGTGAAGATATTAGCTACAAGAGTCACACTGCAGTCAATTTTGGATCACATAGTTAAAACTCTTAAGACATCTCCATTGTATGTCTACTTTCTAAAAGTTCAAACTCACTTAGTCAAAGTCTTCCCCTAAACCTCATTCTGAGTTCCTTGATCTTTATTGTCTAATCTGCACCTGGAATGAATGTTGAAGACCCACTGATAAAAGAGGGAGTGCTGAATGCAGAATAGCCACAGTACAGATCAGGAAGGATTTTTACCTTAAGGAGTAATTATTACAGAGCTCATTTATTTCCAGATCATTCCCAGCCTTTATTCCGTTGGATTCTTGGGGAAGTGTTGCCAGACAGTGTACAGATCATGGCCCAGATTTCCAAAATGTGGCCTACAAGACTCAGGATTATGTATAGAGTTAATTGTGAATTCATATATTATCAGCTAGATGACCAGCTACCTGAATTGTGCACACACTATTTAGGTGATTAGCTGGATAATAGTTAATTATATGCCTCTGAAGGCCAATATAAAAAGCAGATGCACATTAAGTGGGTGCTGGCTGTGCACACAAGATGGCTGGGTTGAAGTCTATGTGCAAATCTAGTCACCCAATATAAAAAGCAGATGCACATTAAGTGGGTGTTGCAAATCTAGTCATAATAAGTGCAAATCTAGGTAATAGTTGCTAGTTTTTAAAATTGAATGAAGTGTGCTGCTCTTCAGGTCCAAAAATAGTGCAGCATTTTCAACCCATTTTACTTAGACTAAATGCTTTCTGTTGAGCTGCTCATCTATTGTAAGCACTTTCATGATCCCTAGTGCTTTGTTATCTGAGCCCGGCACAATATTTGATTAATTTATCCTCACAATACTCCTGTGAGGTTGGAATTATTAGTTTCCCAGCTGTGAAATGAGAATAACGAGTCATAGAGCAACTAAACAACTTGCCCAAGTCACACAGGTTGGTGACAGAGAAGGGAGTTGTATACTGATCTCTCAAGTCCCAGGCTTATGCCCTCACCCCTGGACTATCCTTCCTTTTGCTCATGAGTACACCAATTCTATGGGAGCATTAGAATTTATCTAATCTCCTTTTTAGTTTAAGGTGAATGCTGAATGCACTGAGATGGTGCTTTATAAGCTAAAGAAACATATGAAACAATCAAAATGTATGAATAGCTAAAAGAAAAATTTAGAGGCTCTATACTTCCTTGTTGTATTTAAACATATGCTTCCGGACTGTCTGCCTTAAAACAGCTCTTAAATAATTCAAACAAATGTTAATAATAAAACTACAATGGGAGGCTAGTTAGGGAATCCTGCTCATATATCCCAAAACAACACATTTAAAGGAAAGAAACACTGTTCCCATCGTGACATGTTTATGATTTAGAAACTGAGCCAAGTCTCCATATGGGTTCACTCTGTAACTCACAGAGTGATAAAACACTCAGGTCATAGGAAATTTGTGCATGGTGTGTGTTGTTGCAGCTGTATCAAAAGGATAATTCCTGTGGTAACTGTCTTTTGTTAGAGAAGCATCTCTAAGTTGATGTGCCTAATTGATCTGTTGCTTGAAAGGTTATGCATAATATTATCTGTCAATGTAGTTAAAATTTATTTCCTGTGCATTGGACATAGGATAGCTCTCTAAGATCCAAAATATGCTTTTGGGCTGTAGAGTGAATTCCTATAAAAAGTATTCTTTCAGCAACATCTGAAATTGAATAGCTACTGTATTCCTCTGCTCCTGCCACATACTGGCTCCACAGCTGTTCTCTATCATCCAGATCCCAAGCCAAGTCATTTGTAGTTTGATCAGATACCATTGAGATAAGCATGGTGTAAATGCCTGAAATCATCATAATCTCTTCTATGTTAAAGGCATTTTCACAGGTAATACTATCAGGCCGAATTAACTCTTCTGAGGGCTCAGGGTTATTAGATTTTGTGAGGCCCCCTAAGCAGCGGGATGGGGTTAAGGTAGGAGGGGGTTTGGGATCTGAGGTGTTGGGATGAAGGAGTGGGCTAAAGACAAGGGGAGGGCAGATGGGGTCTGGGCAGGAGTTAGGATGCCTTAGCAGGCTCTGGGATGGGGCTCAGAGTTAGGGTGTGGGGTGCTTACCTGGGACAGCTCCACTTTGGGGAAGGGGCGAACAGGTGGCTCAGCCCAGGCTGCATTGCCCTGCCCTCACCTGCTGGCACTGTGGCCACTATCCCCTGCAGCTCCCAATGGTTGGGATTCCTGACCAATGAGAGCTTTAGGGGCACAGCCTGAAGGTGAGGGCAGGGTGGGATGCATCTTTCCCAATTGCAGCGATGTGACTGCAGCCCAGCAAGGGGGATAGCAGAGAGCAGAACCACATCCTTTCCCTCTCCCCTCACCAGGCAGGGCCAGATAACATGCAGGGGCTTCAGCAGCAACAGCCCAGGGCCCTGGACTAAGGGAATCCCACAAAAAGATCTGCACTTTTGACAGTTCAGAAATCTTTTTCAGGGTCTCCTTTAGCTCAAGACTGCATCCCCTAAAGCCCCTTTCTTAGTTTGGCACTGAATACTATAAAATGCAAGAAAAGATATTTCTATTATGCTTTAGGTTCAACCACAGATCAGAGAGTTTTCTTTGTTCTGAGCAGAGCTAAGTGCAGGTATTTTTTTTAATGGTTTATTGAACAAAATGTGCCCTTATGATCAACCTGAAGCTATATGTAAATTGCCACACAAATAGCTTCAGCCATTTTTCTCCCCTGCCATTTTCTGATAGAGGTGGCGGTGATGTTGCTCATGTCTCTTCCCAGCCCCTCATAATTATGAGCACAGTGGTATGGGCACTCATCAGGGATGTTAGAGCCCTATATTTGAATCCCTGCTCCTCAACAAAACACAGATGCACTTTTTCAACTCACCACAAATTCAAAAAAAAAAATTAGATTCAATTCAACCTGAATTAAATTTGTTTTTCAGTGTTTTAGAACTGTCACTGAACTGGGAAAAAAATCTCTTATTGCCCAGCTATAGTTACAAATTCTCTCCACATTTTTGTGATACACAAATGGTCTTGGAAGCTGTGTGTGTCAAACTGCTAAGTTTGCATATGCCTGGTGCACCTACAATTTCTTGTGGCAGCTTGCAAATGAACACGTGAGCCTAATGATATTTATTGTTGCACAAAATGAACGGTATTCTGAAAATGAATATCTATAGCCTCAAGCCAGTGGCACACACAAACCTGAAAGAGATCTTTTGCCCTCCCTTTAAGAAAGCATAAGCATGAAGTTTAAGATTTCTGGTGTGCATCTAGTTGCCTATGTTCCCACAACTTCCTGTTGCCTATGTTCCCCCAATTTGAAACAAACATCCTTAGTGGAATAAAGTAGCTTTTTAACATATGCAAGAAAAAATGGTGGGTGGGCACGTACTGGTTGCCCAGCTCCTCCACCTTCCCCTGCTGATCAGCACCTCCCCATCCTTCCCAGTGCCTCCCACCTGCTGTGGATCAGCTGTTTAGCAACATGCAGGAAGCATGGAGAGGGGAGGAAGAGGAGTGAGGGTGGAGCATGCTTGGGAAAGCATGGAGAGATAGGGGAGATAGTGTTGAAGCTTGGGGCAAAGCATGGGCTAAGCACCCCCCCCCCCAGGAAAAGGACAAAATCAGTGCTTGTGAATGTACAGATAACTGAAACAAGTGGTGATCTTTATCAGACAGAAACAGCATGGAAGCCTTGCAGTCAGCTCTAAACATATTATGCAACTAGTAGTGAGCCCCAAGTGTGGGGTCACCTCTGGCTTTGCCGTGAGCAAGGGGCTGTACATTGTGGAAAAGTTCCCTCCTGTTTAACTCCTGCACATGATCATTTGTCAGTGACAAAACTGCCTTTTGGATTCTAAGCACACCACTACTGTTTCCTATGATCTGAAAATAGTAGGGGTAATTTCTTTTTCACACACTGAAAACAAGAGGTCCCAACTGTGAGCGTGTGGAGAGGGGTCACTAGTCCAACACCAGCCTCGGTATGAAGTTTTTTTTAAGATTCAGGATCCCATTCTGTATTGGTCCTGCAGAAAAAGTCGAAAGCAGGAAAACCGCATCACACGTACCTATACATGTCCTTCCATTTGGTCCCAGCTGAAGTCCAGTTGATGGACACAGACACCGCACCTCGTCTTTGACTGCTTCACATCCATACTGACAGTTCACCATACCACACGTCTTAGAGTCTGAAAAAAAAACACCTTTGTCAGAATCTAGATTGGAAACTAGACCATCTCTTTTACTAAACTGCATGTTGTATATTCAGCTGCACAGAATGATCTCATTCACTGTTCTCAGCATCTATTCTGTTAATCACATTGTTTAGTCATCAAAAAAAAATTACCCAATAGATATGACTGCACCAGAACCTCCCCCACTATTGTGAGTATCAGAGCCTGGTCCACACTAGTCCCTCCTGCTCCAAACTATAGCAGGGTCCCCAGAAAAGCATGCTGCTCTCTCTACACCTAAGACACAATCCTTACCTGTAGAGTAGGAGAAGCCACATAGGTAGCTAAGTACCTTGCTGCAGAACGAGCAGTCAAACATCAACTTCCTCTCAGCCAAAGACAATAATGTGGGTCTGAAACTAATTAACCCAAATACTTGGGATGGCCAGACCTTATTAGGCTATGTCTAGACTGCAAGCTTCTTTTGGAAAAAGCTTCTCTCTTTTTTTTTTATCTGAGGAAGTGGGTCTGGCCCACGAAAGCTCATCATCTAATAAACCATGTTGTTAGTCTTTAAAGTGCTACATAGTCCTGTATTTTGGTTCAGCTACACCAGACTAACACGGATACATTTCTATCACTATTTCCAGAAGAGATCTTCCGGAAAAGCTTATTTTGAAAGAGAAAGTCCATTTTGCAAAAGCACAACGAAAAAGTGATGTGCTTTTTCGAAAGAGAGCATCCATACTGAATAGATGCTATCTTGCATTTAAGTTGCAATTAGTATGGATGGAGTGGCCACTATGGCACCTGTGTTATTTTCTGGAGACCTCTTTTTTTTCGAAAAAGGCTTCTTCCTTGTAGAAAGAGGTGTACCGCCGTTGGGAAAAAAACCTCCATTCTTTTGACTTTCTGTTGAAAGAACTCAATGGCAGTGTGGACACAAGTATTGTTTTTCTGGAAAATGGCCATTTTTCTGGAAAAACACTGCAGTTGTAGATGCACCCTTAGAGACAAAGCCCAAATGAGTTGGAAAACCACCTTCTTTTCTTCTAGAAATGAGGCTTAGAAGGAGAGAAGAACAGACAGGCTCAAGGGCTGAAGTGAAAGGTTAGCTAGACACAGGGGTCCTAAGGCACTCTAGTCCGTTTGAACCATTGAGTGGGGGGTGAGAAGTGTGTCAGCCCCAAGGGTTGATCAATGTATAGCTCTTGGAACTGTGAGTAAAGAAGACACCATCTCTTTCCATTTGAGTCCTTGCAGTATGTTTTTTATGAATTAATAAGACTGCACCAAAGAAATACATGCTTTTATCATCAAACATCTACACAGGCTGAAAGACCATGAATGTTGGTTGCTTGGGTCAAAAATGGTAATAATATGAATAAAAATAGCTTGCTTACTGGCCTAAAATATTTTCACTCTCAGAACTCTTTGTGCCAACACAGAATGTGTAAACAAGCTAACTGCAGTATATGTCTCAGAGGGATAGCCATGTTTAGTGTGTAAGTAAAAAAAAAAAAAAAAACCCCAGGAGTCCTGTAGCACCTTAGAGACGAACACAAATATGTAAATGGTATCATGAGCTTTCGTGGGCACAAACCACTTCTTTTTTGTCATCTTACAATTGTCTCACAGAATCACTACTTCATCTTATAAATGTACAGGTCGCACTGCTCTAAATTGGAACTCTCTGGTCTGGCAACATCCATGGTCAGGAAGGACCATGGATGTTCTAGGATCAGAGAGTCCTGATGCACTGCAGGAGCTGGAAGGAATGGGAGCCCAGCGTGATGTGGGGACCGACAAGTGGCTCAGCTGGGCTACGGGGGAGAAAGAGACAGGCTTTTGAGCTTATATAGATTTTGAAGAAGAGCTGTGTGAACTCTAAAACTTGGCTCTCTCATCAACAGAAATTGCTCCAATAAAAGAGAACTTCATCTGCCTTGTTTTTCTAATATGGTGCACTAGCACAGTCGAGGACATAGGCTATGCTAGCTATCCTAACATTACTGAACTGTCTAAAGGTTTTATTTTTAAGGATTAAAATTCCTCTAAACCACAACTGTGCCCTAGTTTAGTGTAATCCATACCTTTAAAAATACTGCCACAGGAGAGCATATCCTTTAGTGCTCACTAAACCTAGGAACCTGAGAGACAAAGAGAGAAACTAGAAACTAGCCATGATTGCACAGAAGTCATTTGTGATTAGGGTTGCCAGATGGTCTCCCAAAAAATATCGAACATGCGGGCTAAAAATGTGTTGAGCAAAAAACCACTGCCACGAACACACATGCTATGTTTAATACAGGCAGTCCCCGGGTTACGTACAAGATAGGGACCGTAGGTTTGTTCTTAAGTTGAATCTGTATGCAAGTCGGAACTGGCGTCAGCCGCTGCTGAAACTGATCAGTTTCAACCGCGGCTGAATCTGGATGCCAGTTCTGACTTACATACAGATTCAACTTAAGAAACCCAGGCGTCCCCAAGTCAGCTGCTGCTGAAACTGATCAGCGGCTGATTCCAGGAAGCCTGGGGCAGAGCAACTCTGCCTCGGGCTT